GAGAAGTGAGATACAGAACAATAATAGGCCAGTGGCAGGGATCTAGCATGGCATGCTAAGAAGTTTATATACCTTCCAGAGACAATGAGAGGCCAGGGGAAGTTTTTTAAAAAGTGATATAAAACCATTTATCCTACAATCTAGACTTCAGTTTCAGTGTCCAGCTGTACATTTGAGGTCTGTGGAGAGAAGAAATGACCTAGAGGTTTAAAAGAGAACATTCTAAGAATGGCATGAAGGTCTGTAAGTCCAGGGCACAGGATGAGGAAACGGGGGTAGGGAGAGGGTCACAATAGGAGGTACACCTTGAAACATAAGATTGCAAAAGGCTTATCTGGCATGGTAGGTATCAGACTTCATTCTTTTCACTAAAAGGAATGAAAGAAGAATTTTAAAGAGGGGAATGGAAGAGAGCAGAGGGAGAATGGGTTTGGTGCTAGGATTCTTGCTGAGCATCAGGGGTCAGTCACAGAAAAAGAAGAGACTCCTGCCAAAGCAAGGTGGTTCACGGAGAAACAGGGAGACAATCGTGCTCCCTTAGGAGAGTTTGCTCTGGATTTACTTCTGGGATCTTGACATTTGTTCCTGGATTAGATCCAAATGGTACCATAGGAAGAGTATGTTTAATAAAGTCAAAGCAGTTTTTTACCAATATTTCATTCATTCAATTAACAATCCATGCCTACTATTAAAAAGAATAATGTTACCTTTGAAAGAAATCCAGTGTCAAAAATAGGTACACAAATGACTAAGATAAAGAATTAAAGTAGGAATTAATAAAGCAGTGAAGAAAGGAATGAGGCACCTAAGTAAAGCATTTTGAGAAAGTAGCTGAGAATGTTTAAGGGGCAGGAAGGAGACCTGAAGGTAATGGAATCTGAGTTTAGATCTCAAGGATACACAAAGGGGACTGAATAGGATGGAATATTTTGAGAAGAGGAAAAACAATGAAAATATATGGATGAGATCTGTAAATAGCATCAGCAAAAAAATGTTGTAGATGTTTCCTGACTCCTTGTACTAGTAATGGATTATCTCCACGGAAGTGCCAACTATACCCCTTACCATCTTTCAGGTTTGTTTGTTTGTTTGTTTGTTTTTGGGAGAGAGGGAGAGAATGGTCAGGGCAGGGTAGGGGCAATGAGAGAGGGAAATAGAGAGTCTGAAGCAGGCTCTGCACTGTCAGCACAAAGCCTGATGTGGGGCTTGAACCCATGAATCATGAGATCATGACTTGAAACCAACAGATTGAACCACCCAAATGCTCCATCTTCTTTGTGGCCTTAAAGAGATCAGCTGTACTCATTAGCAACAGTTCATATTATATTAAACAATCAACAGGGTAAGTATAGACATTTAGACATTTGTATAATTTCTAGGTATAAAGACTTTGACACCAGGAAAATAGACATACTCTCTGATCCATTAAATCCACACCTAAGTAAATTTCCAACAGAATAAATACTTATTTTTACAAAAAATATTTATAAGAATGTTCAGAGTAACATTTTTTAGAATAGCCTTATAACTGGAAATAATACTATTATCCACAATATAGCTGTGATATGTTCATGTAACAATCTATCACAAAAAGAATGAACTAAAACTATATACATGAATGAACCTCAAAGCATAATGTTGAGTGAATGAAGCTAGATACACACAAAGGACATTAAACTCATATAAAATTCAAAGTTTATAGACCTAGTCTATGGCATTAGTTGTGAGGAGAGAGATTATCTTTGGTGAGGCTATGTTTACTCTGTTAAAATTCATTGAGCTATATACTTATAGCTGAGTATTCTACTATATCTGCATATTAGTTTTCAATAACAATATTCACATTCATTTTAAAAATTCATTAGTTTCTGTAGATAAAAGGAAAACATGATTCTTCTATGGTTAGTTTTGTTTGGAGGCAGGGAACTGAAAATTATGCCCTATGTCATAAATGCCATAATAGAAGTAAGCATGGTGTATTCTCCATGGGGCCAAAGAGGAATGGCACACAACCTGAATTGAGAATGGAGATTATAAAAGGCTTCCTGAAGGAAACTTTGCTTTAGTGGATTCTTTTTTTTTGTTTGTTTTTAATTTTTAAAAATGTTTTATCTTCTTTTTTTGAAAGACAGAGCATGAGCAGGGGAGGGGCAGAGAGAGAGGAAGACATAGAATCCAAAGCAGGCTCCAGGCTCTGAGCTGTAAGCACAGAGCCCAATGTGAGGCTCGAACCCACGAATGTGAGTGAGACCATGACCTGAGCCAAAGTCTGAAGCTCAACTGCTCAATTAACTGAGCCACTCAGGTGCCCCCTTGCTTCAGTGGATTCTTAAAGGAGAAATAGGAATTAACCAAGTTTGTCAGAGTTGTTAACCGTAGACAACGAAACCCACTTTAGCTGGTGCAAACAAGTGTCTAGGGGCACCTGGGTGGCTCAGTCAGTTAAGCGAATGACTTCAGCTTAGGTCATGATCTCGTAGTTTGTGAGTTTGAGCCCCACATCGGGCACTGTGCTGACAGCTCAGAGCCTGGAGCCTGCTTCAGATTCTGTGTCTCCTTCTCTCTCTGCCCCTCCCCCACTCATGGTCTTTCTCTTTCTCAAAAATAAATGAACATCAAGGGGAAAAAAAAAAGAACAGGTATCTATTCTGTAATACTTTATAAAGTATCTTGTAATGTCTGGGAAGTAGAGAACAGAGATCATAGCAGTTTGTAAATAAGAAAGAAGGAATATTTGAGAGAGATGATATATGACTGATTATACTTTCTTCTTTCAGAAATCAGTCTAGATTCTAGTTCAATAGCTGAAGAAAATGATGGACAGAACTTATGGTGACACATTCACCATGAATTCAGATACAAACAATATTATTAAATGTTTACTTGAAGGAACTACTTTTCAAAGGGAAGAATAAAAGGGAAATACAGAGGTTCCACAGCACATAGAACACATATAACATGAAGCAACCTTTTAAGTGGGTCGCATGGAAATTCTATTCCATGACCACAAAAGCAGAGGTTTCCTGGGGTCAAGTTATTACTATTATTTTCAAAAACTAGCTTTATTGAGGTATAAGTTATATGCCAGGAAATTCATCAACTTTAAGGGTGCAATTTGCTGAGCTTTGGCAAATAACTGGAATTGTAACCAACGTGATATAAAACATTCCATCCCTCCATAAATTCTCCCAGACTTCCTTGAAGTCAATCCTTCCCCTGCTACCTACACGTTGGGCTACACTGACCTTCTGTCTCATTGATTTTGATTTTCTAGGAAAAAATATTATAAAATATGTAGTCTTTTGTGGCTGTCATCTTTAATTTAGTACAGTGTTTAATTTTTAAAATTATCTCCCCATTAAAGAACTTTTTCAGCCATTTGTCCCCTAATTGTTTTTCCCTCTTTATGAAATTTTCATACCATAGATATATTCTTATCTGTGTACATATGGATATTTGTGTTTTATACACAGATTTTTTTCACACCTCAAGAACAGACTTCTGAGAATATATGATTTACATGTACACCAGTAAAATGCTTTTGTAATTCATCAGTGGTTCATTTTAATTGCTGGGTAATTTTGATTGTATGAATAGACATCCGTGAAATGAATAAGAATAACTGCAAATGTGTTACAAAAGTCAGTTACTAAGAGTATAACTCAACTACTGCTCTTTCTCAAATTTGATCCTCAGCCTCCCTGGTGTCAGTAAACAGATTTCTAATCACACAATTGTTCAAGTTAGGAATCTGGGAGTGACTGAGATACCTTTTCCCCTTCATTTCCTCATACACAACCCATTAAATTCTGTCAATGTCACCCTCTAGATTATTTCTTGAATCTGGTCTCAAGGGATCAGATTTTGACATGATCCAGACCATTATATACTTGGAAGTATTTTTTAAAAATATTTATTTATTCTGAGAGAGAGAGGGGAAGGGAGAGGGAGAGAGAGAGAGAGAATGCATGCACAAGCAGAGGGGGTGGTGGCAGAGAAAGAGGGGGAGAATCCCAAGAAGGCTCTACACTGTCAGCACAGAGCCTGATGCAGGGCTCAATCCCATTGCCCTGGGATCATAACCTGAGCCAAAATCAAGAGTTGGTTGCTCAGCTGACTGAGCCATCCAGGAGCCCCAGGATTTTTTTATTCTTAAAGTGGGAAGTCACTGAATGAATTTAAGTAAGAAAATGAAATTACTTGATTAGTGTAACTAATGTTAGTGTAGCTATTAACTCTTTCATTTAATAAATAAGGAATTAGAATATGGATAATGAGTTAGAAGGGACTATTTAGGGAAAGGAACTTTTGAGAGGAAAGATAGTGGTTCTTTACGAATTTGAAGGTGTGGGAATGGGAGAATTGGGAGATATGCTGCATTTTCAGTGGGACCCATGAGAATTTAGCCAAGGCCTCACTGCTAGATTACAACATAACTGTGGTGACAAAAATTACATATACACTCCTATTGCTTACTGCTGCTTTGATGTAGTTAATTTTCCTTAGCCAAACTATTAAGGATCCTAAATGAATTATGAATATTCTTGAATCATTTGTTGATGAGTCGGAAGGAACTAGAAAATTAGAATCATACTTAAAGGAAAAATATTTGTGCACTTAATACATCTACTCAACTTTCTTTCCGTGCTATGATCTTCCCCGACTGGCTGCTGCAGTACCTGTATTCATGTATCACCTTCAGATGGTGTGCAGTCCACTTTTATGCAAATCGTTTTGACTATGTACATACATACATGTCTCTGGGCGCTTGCTTCTCAGTGAGGTCTTTAACCTATTTAGGCTTAAAGAATCAATGACTTAAGTATGTTTTCAGGCTCAAGTATACAGATATGCATATGACATAGTCTCATTCCTAAGGTACATAAAGTTTACATCATCTACACAGATAAATGACAAAGTCATATTGCCAAAGCTAGGAAGGAGATATGAACAAAGCTCTGGAAGTTTTGTCAGTTATACTGGTGTTCTGTCTCTTCTAGGCGACTTCTGAAATATGGCTGACCACAACATTTCTTCCTGCAGTCCTATACTGACACCCCATCTAACCAGCCTCTACTCTATAGTGCTCATTGGAGGACTGGTGGGAGTCATCTCTATTTTGTTCCTGCTGGTGAAAATGAACACGCGGTCTGTGACTACCACAGCAGTCGTTAACCTGGTGGTGGTCCACAGTGTTTTTCTGGTGACAGTGCCTTTTCGCTTGACATATCTCATCAAGCACATCTGGACATTTGGGTTGCCCTTCTGCAAATTTGTGAGTGCCATGCTACACATCCACATGTACCTCACATTCCTGTTCTACGTGGTGATCCTGGTCATCAGGTACCTCATCTTCTTCAAGCACAAGGACAAAGTGGAATTCTACAGAAAACTGCATGCTGTGGCTGCTAGTACCGGCATGTGGCTGCTGGTGATTGTCATTGTGGTACCCCTGGTTGTTTCTCAGTATGGAAATAATGAGATGTATGATGAGAGACACTGTTTTAAATTCCACAAAGAACTTGCTCGTGGCCATGTGCAAGTTATCAACTATATGATAGTCACTATTGTCATAGCCATTGCAGTGATTCTCTTGGTCTTCCAGATCTTCATCATCATGTCAATGGTGCGAAAGCTGCGTCACTCCTTACTGTCCCACCAGGAGTTCTGGGCCCAGCTGAAAAACCTTTTTTTTATAGGAGTCATCCTTGTTTGCTTCCTTCCCTACCAGTTCTTTAGGATCTATTACTTGTATGTGGTGGCACAGTCAAGTGACTGTAATGACACTGTTGCATTTTATAATGAAATCTTCTTGAGTGTAACAGCAATTAGCTGCTTTGATTTGCTGCTCTTTGTTCTTGGGGGAAGCCACTGTAGGCAAAAGATAATTGACCTATGGAATTGCCTTTTGTGCCGCTAGCCACCAACTACAGTATTCAGAATTCCTTTATATTGAGAGTAAAAATGGGCACAGAGAGGCAGGAAGGGTTATTTCATTACCTGATTAAACCATGCCTTGATGCAGCCAAACAAAAAGACTATAAAATGTCAGAGCATTCATTCCAGTTCTTATTTAATCCCTGCCGTCTCTAAATGATGTCTATAGAAATACTAGTGATGTTCAGTTCACTTGGAGCTGCAAAACAGCATTATTTTCCAGTATAAAATGTCTACTTAGCCCATGGAGGCACCATGGATTTAATGGTTTCTGAGTTTCACCAGCTTATTTTGGTTTCATCAGTTTGAAACAAGGTCTTTTTCAGGCTTTGGACAGGATTCAGCCCTCTAGTTCTTTTCATTCCAGTTAACCTTAGGTAAATTAATCCTGGCATGAATCAGCTCCAAAGACACAAACTCTACTTGGCTAATCAGGTAAGATGCCCATTCAACTCCCACCCTGACAAATAACACATAAGGGGGGAAGCGGGGGAGAACAGTAAGACACCTCTCTAGATTCCATAACTTTGGTGGGAAGTCACTTATCTAGCAATCAAGAGAAACACAACTCCTTGAGGTCATCAGCTGTAACAAGGCTATTTAGTTTGTCCTTTGAAAAGTCAAGTTTAAGAACATGGGATCAATTTTCTCAATAAATCCAAAAATCATTTAAAAGCTTACTAAACATATATAAATGAAGATGAAACTATAAGTTAAATAATATTCCTCACCAATATGCTGGTAAACTTTAAATGAGTTCCCAAGAAAGTGATTAAATTTTTCCCTTTCTGTTTTTTGAAAAAAACTCTAGGTGTCTTGGGCCACAGTTAATTTAGATTTTTCTTGGAAACAGATGTTAAACTTTTTAGAGTGTCTTTCTACCCTTAAAGTTACAAGTCTTTAAACAAAAACAATATTCTTAAAAAATAACTTTTGGGAAATCTAAAGAAAAATTAATTCAGGGGGCACCTGGGTGGCTCAGAAGGTTAGGTCAGACACTTCTCTGACTCTTGACTTTGGCTCAGGTCATGATGTCATGGCTCCTGAGTTCAAGTCCAACATCACACTCCATGATCACAGCATAGAACTTACTTGGGATCTTCTCTCTCTCTCTCTCTCTCTCTCTCTCCCTCCCTCCCTCCCTCCCTCCCTCTCCCCAGGTCACACTCTCTCAAAATAAATAAATAAACTTAAAAAAAAAAGGAAAATTAATTTAGACTATAAGATTAGGCTGCTAACTTGATACATAGATTTGTGGGTTTTTTTCCCCTTCTTGCTCACATTTCTACTATTTCCCTCAAAGTTTCATAATTTTGGAACTGATCCAGTTTCATTTCTAATGCTTCAGAAAACTTAAAGTGATTTATGCTAGGAATAGAAGAATAGAATGAATTCAAAAAAGAATAGAAAATTTTTCCCCAGCAAAATAAATGTTCAGAATTTAAAGATTTCCCTTAATTTGTTATACTCTGTGGATCCACAAATTTATCAGATGAATAAGAAATATCCCTGTGAGTTTCTATGATCACTAAAATTACTAAGTCATAGAAAATAATTTTGAGGAAGACACAGCAGCAACATGCTGTATAGATGACTTGTTACCAAAATATTCCTGTTTTAAAATTTCTTTTATCTCTCCTTTTTGTTTAAGGTTATATTTCCTTTATTTCTTATTACCTTCTTCTACCGTTTTTTTCTTAGGTTTTTTTCCTACTAATTTTGACTCATAACAGTTGTAAGAAAATTTCTAAGATCCATAAAAGTTTTAAGGATATCTGTTATACCCATAAAATTTGTAAGAAAATAATTAGTAAAATATAACAAAAATAAACAGCATAGAATACAAATAGTAAAATATTAAAATTCCCAAACAATATTTATGGAAATTACATCAAATTTCTTTTCTTATATATCTTTGTCTTACTATCATAATATCTGTTAGCCTGTAAAATGTATTATAACTTCTTCCAGATTTTTAATATGTTTAAGCTCAGGCATTACACTTTTCCCTATATTGTTATATATTATAACAAAGGCCTAGTTCTGTGGTCCTATATGAAATATTACCCAAAATACAGAAATGCAATATTCCATAATATAAAATAATTTATTCATCAATATTTAGAAAATAAGTGGACATTTTCAATTTGTCTGTTTGTTGTCTATAATTACTATGAAAATGAATCACATACAGGAGTGGGGGCATTACTGGCCTCTCTGGCCATTTCTGAATATCCAAATTATAAGACTGTGCATTTTGTGGCTGGGGTCAGAGACATCTTGCCTTGCACATAACTGCATAATAAATAGTTATCAGGTCTTGCTGTGTATTTGAATGTTCTTTCAGACATTTATGAAGTGAAACATATGCTCATAATAATTAGAATAGTTAGGTTTTATTGCATTTTCATAAACACATAGTATTTTGGTGTTGTTTTAATTTTCTGAATTTTCCAGAAATGTAGCTACCATTATCTGTGAATTTTGCTTTAAAATCATAAAAGTGTTACCAAAAATTTGCAATAAAAAGTAAAGTTTGAGGTCTGCAAGCATTGAGACCAACTGAGCCAGCAGAGAGTCAATTTAAAAGGGAGATTTACCAAACATGGCATTATAAACAGAAAAAATATTCCTGTATTTTGAGAATACTGAAACCTTAGCTTGATTCAATTCTAAATTCTTTCTTCCATTTCTGTAGTGATTAAAAGAGTAAACGTAACTTTTAAGAAAATACACATATGTATTTTTTTGATAAGACAAAGGCATTTCCCTAAGCCTCACAACTCTCAAACTTATAATGGTCAATATCTACCAGATTTTAAACCCAGAGATAATGATAATTTTTGAGGCACAGACAGAAAGATTGTTTCTGGCACCCATTAAAAAGCACTCTACACAGCCTTTGTTTATTTCCTAATTGTTCTCTGAAAGGGTTTTTGATTCCCTTTCCTCTTTAACCTGACATAGATTAGGTAGAAATAAACTATTTTACTTTTAGGCTTTGTGTGGAATGATTCAAGAAGAGGTGAAAATATGTAAATCCTCCTCTAATCCTCCTGAATGGAGCTGCCAGTAACACTGCTTTCCTAAGTTAATAAAGCAGTTGTGAAGGAGGGCAGTGCGCCAAGACATGTTCAGTCATCAACTCTTGAGTAGGTCAGTGAGGTGAAACTGTGAAGTTGCCATTTGTTAAATTACACAGATTTTACCCATTTACCCTCTAATAAGACAAGGCATAGACCAAGGACTCTCACACCTTTTGGGGTTGATAGAAACAAGGAAACTCTCTTTGTAATAGGGGCTGTTTACAGCACTTTGGAAATAGTTGGTAACAAAAGCCCTATGGTAAAGGGGCACAGTGATAGCAGATTTGCTTGGATAATGCCAAAAAAGGAAAACCCTAAAGACCCCCCCAAAAAAACTGTTATAATAAAGGAAATCAGTAAAGTTACAAAATACAAAATCAGTGGTGAAAAATCACTTGCATTTCTATTTGCTATCCACAAGCTATCAGAAAGAGAAATTAAGAAAACAATCACATTTACAATTACATGAAAAAGAATAAAATACTCAGAAATAAATTTAACCAAGAGGTAGAAGAGCTATTCAAAGAAAACTCTAAGATGCATGGAAAGATATTCCATGCTCATGGATTGGAAGAATTATTATTGTTAAAATGTCCATACCACCAAAAGCAATCTACTGATTCAAAGCAAAATCAAAATTCCAGTGGCATTTGTCACAGAAATAGAAAAAAGAAAAACAACCCTAAAATTTGTATGAAACTACAAGAGATTCCCCAAAAGCCAAAGCAATATTTAGAAAGAAGAATCAAGCTGGAGGCATCAATCTTCCTGATTTCAAACTACATTATAAAGCTATAGTAATCAAAACAGTATAATACTGGCTTAAAAATAGATTCATAGATCAGTGGAAAGAATAGAGAGCCCAGAAATAAAACAACGCATATATAATCAGTTACTTTATGGCAAAGGAGCCAAGAATATACAATGGGGAATGGATAGTCTCCAATAAATGGTTGGGAAAACTGGACCACCACATGCAACATAATGAAATGGGACACTTGTCTTATGCCATGTGCAAAAATCAGCTTAAAATGGATTAGACTTAAATTTAAGATATGAAACCAGAAAACTCCAGGAAGAAAACATAGGAAGTAAGCTCCTTCACACTGGTCTTGGCAATGATTTTTTTGGATTTGAATCCAAAAATGCAAAATGCATTTATAATTTTAATATAAATTTATATAAATTTATATTTATATAAATGCAAAAATAAAAAAGTGGGACTATATCAAACCAAAAGGCATCTATACTGTGAAGGAAACCATCAACAAAATGAAACGGTAACCTACCAAATGAAAGAAAATATTTGCAATCAAATAGCCAATAAAGTACTAATATCCAAACTATATAAAGAACATACAACTCAATAGCAAAAAATCCCCCAAAACAATCTGATTAAAAATAGGCAAAGGAATTGAATAGACATTTTTGTAGGTATGACTTACAAGTGGCCAACTGGTACATGAAAAGATGCTCAATGTTACCAATCAGGGAAATGCAAAGCAGAGCCACAAAATGAGATATTACTTCACACTGTCAGAATTGCTGTCACCAAAAACACAAGAGATAACAAATGTTGGTAAGAATGTGGAGAAAAGATAACCTATGTACACTGTTGGTAGAATGTAAATTGGTACAGCCACTATGGAAAATAGTACAAAGTTCCTCAAAAAATTAAAAATAGAACCATCATATGTTCCAGCACCCCAATTTCTGGGTATATATCCAAAGAAATTGAAAACAAGATCTCAAAGAGATATCTGTACTCCCATGTTCACTGCAGCATTATTCACAATAGCCAAGGTATGGAAACAACATAAGTGTCCATCAACAGATAAATGGATAAAGAAGATATATACAGTTGACCCTTGAACAACATGAGTTTGAGCTGGGTATGTCCACTTATGCACGGATTTTTTTCAATAAATACAGTACAGTTTCATAAATGTATTTTCTTCTCCTTATGATTTTCTTAACATTTTTTTCTCTAGCTTACTTTTTTCGGAATAGATAAAACATGTAACATACAAAATATGTTAATCAAATTTTTGTTATTGATGAGGGTTTTATAGTGATGGGGGTCCAGAGCTGATGGCCAAGAAAGAATTCTTGAGATGTCTTTGTACAAAAAAGGTGATTTTATTAAAGTATGAGGACAGGGCCTATGGGCAGGAGCTGTACTGCAGTTGTGAAGAGTACTGGTTATATACTATGGAGTTGGGGGTGATAAAGTCAAGAGGAAGTTTCTTAAAGGGATTTCCATATGCTAAAGAAGATTCTTGTATTACTAGATTACTATTGTCAAGCTAAGGCTGTTTTTCCCTCTAGCAACGCATTATCATTAAGAAAGTAGGGAGTTCCTGGAGACTAGGCTATTGATAAGATTGCCTTTTTCTTATAATTTACTAAGATATTTGTAAACTGATGAAGACTCCTGTCCTGCATGACTGTGATCTCTATCAGTTAACCATTTGTTTTCCCTTTTCCTCTGGCATCCAGGAGTACCTGAGGAATGTCACAAATATCCTACCTGAGGGAAGGTGATTTGGGGAGTGTCAGCCTGTCTTATGCCACTTCATCAGCTTCCAAGTCAACAGTAGACTATTAGTATTTATGTTTTGGGGGAGTCAGAAATTCTATATGCATTTTCGACTTTGCAAGGGGTTAATGCACCAACTCCTGTATCGTTCAGGGTCAGATGTGTGTTCTTGCCTCTGTGATTGTTTGTGTATGTATAATACCATATACAGTATGTAGAATCAAAAAAAGGTCAAAACTATATAAGTAGAGAGTAGAATAGTGGTTACTAGAGTCTGGGATGGTGGGGAAATGGGGAGATG